TGTATATATATATATATGTATGGTACCCCCCACCCCCCCACCCCCCGCAGGTCAATGCCTGCCAGCTCTCGAGGCCCCAGGGCCGAAGCTCGCTGCGAGGCTGTGGCGCCAAGAGCCTTCGTCAACGGCTCCTTCCGAGCGATGGCGGCCTTTTTGGGACCCTTGGGGCACTCGGAAGGCTATACAGTATCTAACTGCCTGGCAGCTAGCACGGCGCAAAGTAGGAGCAGCTGCATTTTCGAGACGAGTCGACAGACGCGAACGATCTACAGGAGTCCTGCATCATTGATGGCTTCGCTGGTGCCCAGGCCATGTTCGAGAGGTTCTGCGGATCGAAGTGGTCGATCCTTCTCGGCGGCATGCGACTCAAGCACAGCTCCCTCGACGGAGCTCTAAGTCTAGGGGCCAACGAGTGCACGGCACTGAAGACGTTCCTTCTCGGAATCGTGTCGAGGCTTCAGTTGCCACCCGGCCAACCTTCTGCCCAAGCTTTGGCAAACCCGCCCATCCAACACCAACCACAAGCAAAGCTGAGCAGCGTTTGAGAGCCAGCAGCCACCAGCACCTCCATGGCTGGCTTGCTTCGCAGCCCGAGCTTGCCTGAGAAAGGTTTCGGTTCGCGTTTTCGATTCTCACACTCGCACTTTGGGCTTTTCTGTGTCTCGATGCTGAAACGCTAGACACCTCTCGTGGTTCAAGTTGGGGAGCCGTAGCAAGGCTGAAACGTGGTGTATCCGGACAGGGGTGCTCTCAAGGCTGCACATGTTATAGCTGGGAGCCCATGGTGCTTCTCAAAATCTCGGCATAGATCCCGGTTCCCACACAGAATGGGGGACACACGCAGCCTTGATATTTTTATATCGTGGCAGATCCCATCGCACATGTTCTAGGCTTGGATACGCTTGGGCTGCAGATACCCTGCAATCTCGGAACTTCAAATCCCACCGCGCCCTAACCTCAAGAATCTTTACTTACCTCTAATAAACTGAACTACATTATAAACATTATAAGCCTCTCTGCTTCACCTCTGCGAAGACACTCGCTTCGCTGCCAAGTGGCCGTAGCTCCAGGCGGCGTTCGCCAGGGCCTGCGGCCGCCACTCAGATGCACAGAGCACGGCCGCCGAGGTCGCACCTGGCGCTTCTTCCAACAGTATTGCAGGTCATGTATCTATCGTAAGCCGGGCTGCAGGGGTTGCAGCAGCTCTTTGCAGCTTAATGTCCAGGATGTTTTGGCGTTGAGGGGCACGCAACCTTCTGATGCTGCTTTTCTACCTGCTCTTCTGGAACCCATGTTCAGCTGCAAGGCAACGAGTCAAACCCAACAGCTGCGGCACCGCGCACGAACACAACGAGTAATGGGTTAAGCTGGCTCTGCAGGCTCTTCTCGGGGCTCTATAGGGATGAAGTAAAAACCGTTAGTCCAGCAAGACTGAGTTGCTCGTCAGCGGGTGCTCCACAGCCGCCGTTGCTGCGAAGGCCCAAGCGCTGTTGGCAGGCTGCTGCTGCCCAGACTCGGCGATTCGTGCCTGTGCAGGGCGTACAGGGTGTTTCGCATCACAGTTCAGCCCAGCCTCAAAAGTGTACGAAGTTTCGCCATGATTTACTCCAGAGGCAGACTTGAAAATCGTCTTTGCCCAACGAATCCGCCCACCTGGGCCCAATGTCCGATGCCACTTGGCAACCTGTCGCCCAGGTGCGCTGTCCTTAGGAAGTCTGCGGTGGCAGAAAGTGTAGAAAGATGACTGACACGGCGCAGTCGACTGCCAAGCCCGTGGCTGGGTACCAAGGCTAAGCAGCCAAGGCACACAGCGGCATCCCAGGCTCTGTTTGCGAGCGCCTTGCGAGACATGGACTTGCAGCGGCTTTGTGAAAACCGACTGGCATTTGAGTCTCCCTCCCCTAACCCCCTTTTTCACGACGGGAAGGTTCGATGTCAATGGGCAGGAGACATGCAGAAGGAGCAAACCTCGTGAGGACCCCGACCCCTCGCTCACCATCTACAACATGCTACATGCAACATCCAGCTACCAACAAAGAGCGGCGGCTGAACCCGACACACACACACACACAAGTCACACGTAAGCCCTCGTGAACGCCAAGAAGCCATGGCGCTACGCGCTATCGCGAATTCATCTCTTGGCCATCCCACGGTCTCCCCTTCCCTGCTTTTAGGGCCTGTGCACCAAGTCCCGGCAGTTGAAGGAGCGCCTCAGAGTCTCCAGGACTTGTCGGGAATAGGGGCTGCTCCAAGGTTCGTTGCGCGCCAACCGAAGTTTTGTGGAAAACTCAAAAGCCAGTGGCACGCCTAGCCCAGGTTACCACAGCAACGATAGACTGGCTAGACCACTCGACTCCTGCCCACCACGTCTCCGTCCAGGGGCTTCGTTTGCGAGACTGCGGAAGGAGGCTTCCTCAGAGAGGCCTGCAGGCGGAAGATGTCTCAAAACAGCTCGCGGACCGCTCTCCTGACGTCCGCCTGCGGCGGCAAGGGCCCAAGCAGCGTTCGCCGAGGCCTGGGGCCCAGACTCACCTGCGAAGAAGCAAACCCTCTCAAGGGGGTCCGTGCTAAATTGACGGTCAAGGCTTCCGGGCTGGAGACCCAAGTGAGTGCTCGGCGGGATGAATAGGGGGGCGAATGATTTGAGCAATGCTTCCTGGGATCCTAGATACCTTTGTCCCAAGGCCTGGACATACCTCAGCTGCCTCATTCGTGAACTTGCCGAACACAGCTTTCATACCATGCTAGTTGGGGTCTTTGTCTGCCAGCTGTGAAAATGCACGCCGTGCCATGCAATGAAGTTTAGGCCATCCGAAGGCTTCGGTTCGTGTAGAATTTTGACTGCATGGGCGGCAATAGTGGCTAGTCACGAACACGGCTTCGATTCTATCCGATCCTTTGCCTCGGTCGACCCTGCCCCAAACTACTATCCCGTGCTAAAGTCCTGAAATCCTGCACACAGAAGTCCTCAAAGGCACAATAAAACAAATATCATGGACACAAAACTCCTCACTATCATCTGACAAGCCCAGGGGCTCAAACAGCAGCATGCTGCCCCACGCGAGGCTGCAAGCAAGGGCTCATGTCCTATGGCTAGACTTTCGACGGCTTCACAAGGAATTTGCGGCGCGAAATCCCTGCGAACAAGTTAACCCGAACAAGGGCCGTTGCTGTTGACCTTGGCATTTCCGGCTTTGCTCACACGTCAACATAGCACAGACAAGTGGTCGCAGGATGGCTACGAATCTTACGAAGTCTTCGGGGCAGTCCTGCCAATAACGTCGCAAATCTCCACACCATGTTGGAGGTGTTCTGTGGGTGGAGATGTGCAATTTTCTGAACAGCTTCTCCTTGCGCAACGTTACTGCACCGCTGCCAAAAGTCTACAGCAGCAAACTGCTGTCAGCAGCCGAGACTCCTCCAACCGCAAAAGACAGCGCATCGCGATCCAACGCCATGGTGCCGGACGCCCACACCAGGTTCGTTGGGTTCTAGGGCTCCAATCTCTCCAAGATGAGAGATGCACGGTGGCCGGGTGCATGCATGAGCGGGATACCCAGCGTTGCCAGCGTTCCGAGTGACCAAGCAGCGGTGCCAGTCTCTTGCGGGCCGCACTCCGACGTCCGTAGCCGCAGCTGAGAGCTTGCAAGGTCCAGCGAGGACCGGTCAAGCTGGCCAAGGCTGGCCCAAGACCAGGCCAAGTTGGCGGGACCCCGCGCCTCCAGTTCGCCGGGGCTTTTTGCAACCTGTCGAGCGATGACCTCTTGCAAGGCTTGGACGGCCAGCCCGGCCTTGCCAAATCTTCAAGCAATGTTGAAGAGCTCCTGCGGAGTCGCTTCACCTACAGTCTGGCAGAAGGTCGTCGAGGTTGCATCCGACAACCTCTCGGGAACATGCATCACGCGTGCGGGAGCCCAGGCCAGGTTGGCGCAGTGCTGCGGCCTGGGTTCCGGCACGAGCCTGCTTGAGGCCCCGGCAGCTGCTTCGAAGGAGACCATCTTTTGCAAAACAAGCGTCGCCCATGCCCAAGCGAGGTTTGCCGGCTTTTGGCTGTCGGGCCCGTTCATGCCGCGCAAGGCCTGCTCCCTTGTCACTTCCATCAGCTGCTCGTCCTGGTAGCCGGCCTTGCCAGATGCCCAGGCGCTGTTCGCAGCCTGTCTTTTTCAATCTAACAGCAGGCACAGGGAACAAGACGCCAAAGTCCTCTTGCAGGCCCGGCCTGCTGCGGGTTGTGCTGCCGCACCAATTTCCGCACTCTCACGGCGACTGAGCTCGGGGGCGGAACGCCGCTTGGCTGCAGGCCTTGCCATACCAGCATGCCATGTTCGTTGCCACAAGCAGTGGCATGCCGTTGCACATGATGGCACACAGGCAACCCTCCGCTCCTGCCAGCGACCAAACAAAGTTGGTCAAAGGCAGCGGCTGAAACTCCTCGAGAACGGCCAGGGCACGAGAGCAGATCAGGGTCAGCAACGCCTCAACAGACACAGAAGCTGAAACGATGCTGCACCAAGGCACAAGAACATCATGAGAAGTCACATGGTCTGCCAGCTGAAAAAGTGGCTAAGCCGAGCCTGGCCGTAAATGTGCAATGTGGCCCAGGACCATGCGATATTGGCCAGGCTCTGCGGCTCGAGCTGCGCTATCTTGGCAATCGAAGCGGCTGAGGCTGCCGTAGAGGACGGCCTGCCCCGAAGGCTCATTTTGCCTGGTCCCCAAGCCGTGTTTGCCAAGCCGTGCGGATCAAGCCGGGTGATCTTTACTACAGCCGTCGTGGCGATGCTCTCCAGCGAAAGCAGGCCTCGATAAGCCGGACGACCGAAGCTTCAAGCTCCGTTGGACAGGTTTTGTGGCGGAAGCTACTGCAGTCTCCCAGCTGTCTGCACTGCAAGGGCTGCCACCAAAGCCCGGTCAGGCCACGAAGGAGTCGCTGCGGCCCAGGATGTGTTCGAAGTGCCTTGGACATCAGGCTCCTGAAGCCGTGCAAACGTCGAGAAAGTCGTGGAGCATGCGAATGTGCCATTTAAAGCGAAGCGAGCCGAAGCCCAAATAAAGTTCGTCGGTACCTGTGCTTCATGTGTTGCAAAATCCCGGCTCTTCTAGCCGATCTCCCGCGCCAGGGAAGTAGCCAGCAGGCCGTCAGTGTAGCGGGCCTTGGCGAAGGCCCAGAACAAGCGCACCAGCCACTGCAAGCGGAAGACTTCCAGCTGGCTTTGCACCTGCCGTCACGGAGCATGCAACACCAGCGCGTCCTTGCATCCGAGCTTTCCAAGCGACCATACGGTATTCACCGATTCCTGCGGCTCGGGCTAGGGGCTCAGCTCCACACAAGTTGCGCACAAACGTCGGGCCAGCGGGCCATCTTGCACCGCCAACCTGCCACACCACCAGGCTAGATCTGCAAAGCCTCGCGCATCCACGTCTCGCATCTCAAGTCTGCTCAGGCATCTCTGCAAGCGACCATCCTGCCTCAACCTGGCAGGGTCCTGAGGGCCCGTCCCTTTCCCCATCCAGCCCCGCAACTGCACAAGGAGACCCTTGAATTTGCTGCGGCAAAACCCTAGAGTCCCTACCAGTAGAGTCCTCGCTTCTCACAGCAGCGACTCGCTGCAAAGCGGTGAGCTGCGCACGAATGTCCTCGGCCGGCACGCGATCCAAGCGAGCCACGAGTTGCTCCGGAGTCTCGGCTATGTCCTCAGCTCATGGGAACTGTGCCAGTGCCTGGCTCCAAGCAATCAGGAAAAACGGAGCCCAAAAGCCGGTCCAGGAAACAGGAGAAGCCACAGAAACAATGAAAACAGAACGCAAAACAGAGAGAGAGCGGGGGAGAGAAGGGCCCAGGCGCTTGAAAAGGAAGTCAACTTAGCCCAGGCTCCGCCCCTCTGCCAGGCCTCCCGGAACCCTTTGGCCTCCACTCGAGTGCCCGAGCCCCTGACATGACGCCATGGCGATCTTCGGGACCCTAAAAACCCTAAACCCTAAAGCCCTAAACCCTAAATCCCTACACCCTAAAACCCTAATGGGATCCCTCTTGACATGAGACTGGATCGGAGCTTTGGGCTCAGTTGCTTGTAGGACTTCATTAAGGCTTCGGTTCCATAACAACGACTTGTGGCATGGAAGTCTTGCCTCTGTCATGTTGAGCCTTGACATGCTTAATCGGATGTGACCCGGACGATTTGCATTCCGAGCTATGGATGGCACACTATTCTGGCGGCGATCGTTACGCAGTGTGCGGCAGGGCACAACATCAAATGCAAGGCCCTAAACGCACGCCAATGGTCGATTGTTATCTGTGTACCCAGCAGGCACAGGACCCAAGCTCACAACACAACCAGTTTTTCACGGAGCCGGCTGAGACAACTTCAGAGCTCGAAACCTTGATTATCCCAGAAATCCCGAGAAGGCTGAAAGTACGGGACCCGGGACTCGCGGCATGAATCTCACTTCTCGGCCCGCTTCCACCGCTGGAGCGGCGTCTCCACCTCCTTAGTCCGATCTTCGAAGAGGCTTCTTTCTGACCTAAACAACTGGGTTTTTGACTTGAAGGCAGGAGGTGGAGCAGGCACGACCTCTCAACGCAGGTTATATACTAGCGGCTAGCTGCCGGAGACCCAACCTGCTCACGGCAGTGCCGCAGTGGCTTCCGTGCAATGCTTCGGCTGCAGCGTGATGGCCACGCTGCGAGCACTGAGCTGCAGCTTCCTCTTCTTCTTGCCGTTGCTTTCTGTGGGGTGTCTCATGCATTTCCTGGACCTGTAGCAGGGGCTGACGACCTGCCACGTCCAGGAATCCTGTGCTGCGAGGATCTGCGAGGATGCATCGAGATGGCACGCAAACCTGCACTCCAGGCGGCGCCGGAATCGCCTGCCAAATTGGGGGCGGCACGATTCGCCCCCAAATTCTTGCCACAACCCCTGACACCCATGATCTCAAGCCGTGCCATGTAGGGCCTTAAGGGTTTCGGCGGTGCTGCGAAAGCAATGCAACCTGGCGTCTCTTGCTTGTGCAGGTGGCAAGTCCGGGGCCCAGCTCTTCCTGTCGATCGGGTTCAACCTCGCAGGAAGCGAGACAATGCCTTAGGATTCGTTTCCAATCATCGTGCGACTCAGCTTTTCTTTAGCTGCGTAGCTGCCGGGCCCTTTTTTGCCTGGACTGTTCCGCTGCGTAGATGCAATCTCAGACAAGTTTGGGTTAGAAGAAGTTGGTGTTAGAAGCATTCACGCGGCTGAGCCAACAGTCACATCCAATAAAATCCTGAAAAGGCCGGCCGGGTCACTGCCGAAACCACGTGCTGTCCCCGAATACCTCGGCGGGTTCACCTTGAGCCGGGCTTTGTCTTCCGCTTCGAAGCTGTTTCTGCGCACCAAACAGGGAAGCATGGCCCTTAACCGGAAGCATGGCCCTGGATGATGTCCGGGGCCGAAATCCTCTCAAGCATTGCTGTAGCTCCCGATCTACTCTAGCGTAGTCTTGGTCACTGTCCCTGCTGTTAACCTTCGCAAAACAACCGGTTCAGTCCACGCGACCCGGGACATTTCTGGGCTGCAACTATAACGTATAACTATTCACTGTTTTGACTCTGCCCTATCGCCTGAGGCAACTTACCTACCTCGGTCCAGGGTATGCCGGATGCTGGCGCCCCAGCCCAGCACGACCTGAAACCTTATGCCGCTTATCCTCAGACTCAGCGGCAGCTTAAGTCGAAGTGCCATCAGGACCGCAACAGCCTTTAACCTCTCTTCCTCGTTGCCAGGACACTCGGCGTCAGTGCCGTGTAGCCCAAGGCTCGATTGGCTGCAGAGGACTCGACGTCCTGCGCCTCTGATTGCAGAGGATTGGGTTGCCAGCAGAGGCCATGAGGCCATCGACAATCGACGGAAAGCCATGAGGCCGGAAACCGAGGGTGCCGGTTGGAGGCCGTGCACGCAGACTAAAAGCCTAGACACACATGGTTTTTGAAGGGGGTGCACGTGCCCAACTTGCCCAACTGACAAATGCAGAGTTCGACTCAGGTAAGGCTTTCCTCGAAAGCGGCGGAGGAGTAGCACTTATTGACGAAACTGCTCAAAACGTTCTTTTGCATCTGGGTCTGGGTGGTGCTTCCGTTGGTTGAGGTCTGATGCCTTGCAGAGTATCGGACCGTGGGATCGGGAAAACCGAGCTTGCTTGCCTAGGCGACGGTGGCATGGAAGGATGGTGTTGCATTTTCGTTTGCGTATTCGAGGAACATCCGTGGAAGGAAAATGAAGCTTTGGTGCAGAGGTTTACGGATGGTCCTAATCCCTTACACATGATTCCATCATTAGCATACGCCGCAGCAGCAGCCTGGACATGAGCATCACCATCATCATCATCATCATTGTCATTATCGAAACCATCAGGTTTGACTGCGTCGCTAGATTGTCATGCACTGCTTGGCTGACTGTCCACAATGAAGAAGTGAAGGCTGACTATCAGCCGAATCTCGACGTCATCGCAGCAGGCCATATCAGTCAGTCCAAAGAAGCCACCAGTCGTTCCATCAGAGTGAAACCGTGAGTCGGCAAGCCAGCGAAATCGCCACTACACCTTTCGCGGCTGAAAAACAATGACAAACGTGCCTGTCCACACGGCTGACCCTTGAAACACCGCAATCGAATCAGACTCTCCCACCTGCGCGTCTACCACGGCCTCTCCAATAGAATTGAAGCGCGCCTAAGCAAGACATCAAGATGGAAGAGGTTGCTGCCGATACCTGAATTCTCTGTCAGAGGCATTGTACGCCTTGCTTGTCAAGGTTATGATACTAACAACAACGACAGTAAGCTATGTCCCCAAATCCAACAGCAATCCTAACGAAAGTATTGGTAACGGCATAAGACAGCAACATGTGCAGTCGTGGTGGTGTAGTAGCAGTAGTTGTTGTTGTTGTCGTTGTGGAGTGTGCTTGCACCATGGTCCGCAAGGGGCGGGGCAAAGTGACGCGGCATTTTGGTCATGATGACTTGTCACTTTGCCAACCCCCCGAAAAAAAAAAGGCAACTACCAACATGACACGGTCCGACGCGTCCCTAAAC